TATATAATTATTAAAGTGTAAACACATTTAGAAGACAGTGGGACTGCCAAGACTCAGCAGGAATATTAAAAAAAAATAGATGAGTCTTTTTGAGTCTCAGTCCTATAAAAATATAATATATATATAATTATTAAAGTGTAAACACATTTAGAAGACAGTGGGACTGCCAAGACTCAGCAGGAATATTTAAAAAAAATAGATGAGTATTTTTGAGTCTCAGTCCTATAAAAATATAATATATATATATAATTATTAAAGTGTAAACACATTTAGAAGACAGTGGGACTGCCAAGACTCAGCAGGAATATTTAAAAAAAATAGATGAGTCTTTTTGAGTCTCAGTCCTATAAAAATATAATATATATATATAATTATTAAAGTGTAAACTCATTTAGAAGACAGTGGGGCTGCCAAGACTCAGCAGGAATATAAAATAAATAAATAGATGAGTCTCTTTGAGTCTCAGTCCTTCACACAGATGTTGATCACATCTGGGGGGGGTTTGGGGGATTCCTGGTTGTTTCTACAGCTCTCCGCAGACGCTGGACGTGGTGCAGTACCCAGCCGGAGCCACCGGGGGTGGACGGCGGGTTCGAGTTCTCGGTGATGACCTACAACATCCTGTCCCAGGAGCTGCTGCGGGACAACGCCTACCTGTACCGCCACTGCCACCCGGCCCACCTGCCCTGGGAGTACCGGCTGCCCAACCTGCTCACCGAGATCCAGCAGCACGCCGCCGACGTGAGCCAATCAGACGCCGCCTCCCTGTTTTCCTGTTCTCTTTATTATTCCTTATTTACGTTATATTACCTTACCTTACCTTATATACGTTTTTCTGCGTCTAACTGCTCCTACAACTTTCAGCCTATTTCAATTAACTCATTGACTGGCAGCCATTTTCAGAACAGAGAGTCGCTCACTGCCAGAGTTTTTTGAGCATTTTGACTGATTTTTCTAGAGCCACAGAATAGTTTGTGCTATGACTATGTAAACACAGAACACACCAAAAGAAAGAGTAGACTCTCTTCTATCATCAGGAAAAAAAATGTGTTTCTACCTTTTTCCGTTCTTCTTCGACGTGCGTCTCACCGGCGACATGTTCTCTCATAGCGAACCATTGCGTTTGTTTTTATTTGCTTACAATCTATGCTAATCTCCCATCAAAAGTGGCACTGCCCCCTAGAGGGTCAATTTGTTAGTCCATACTCTGTCTAGAAGCCTGATATTTACGGAAAAACTTTCGCCGATCGTCCCCCAAGCCACTCGCATTGAAAAACATAAAAGACGTCTATAGATGTCTTTGGCAGTCAGCGGTTGGATTTGAAAAGACGTCTATAGACGTCTTTGGCAGCCAATGAGTTAAAAGGTATCGAAATGACACCTTTCAGCCTATTTCAACAAATAAGGTATCAAAGTGTTCAGCTATCTCAGGACTATGCAGCTACGACTTTTCGTGTTTAAATCTTTTCAACTTTTTAAGTTATTGAACTTTTTCTGCTTTTATTTTCTCTCATTGTGAGAATGCCTACAGGTATTCTCACTATTGTTTTCCTGTTTCCCTTTATTATTCCTTATTCTGGACGTTTTTCTGCATCTAACTACTCCTACACCTTTCAGCCTATTTCAACAAATAAGGTATCAAAATGGATTATGCAGCTATGACTTTTGGTGTTCAGATCTTTTCAACTTTTTAAGATATTTAACCTTTTAGGCCTTATCCTTCTCATTGAAATGAATGGAGCAAAAACTATGGCTCCCTCTGCTGGTCACTGGCTTTTTAGCCCCTTCAAATTTTTCCTATGAATTCCTCTGCATCTCTTCGGCCAGTGGTATAGCCCAGTGGTATAGCCCAGTGGTATAGCCCAGTGGTATATTTTCAACTTTTCTTTGGTTTCTTCTCCTTCTTCCTCCATTCATCATTTGGCATTCTCACAGCTGGAACAGCCATATTATAGTTTGCCTCTCTCAGCCAGTAAAAAAAAAAAAAAAACAATCTTAATTTAGGTTAAAAAACTGTGGTCAGGTGAGACCCCCCCTCCCCCTCAGTGGTCAGTTTGAAAGTTTCAGGGCTCACCTGGATCAGCCTCGTTAAAACAGGACTTAAAGCAAAGCAAACCAAACTAAATTACAAAGAGATGGAGGCAGGGGCTCCAGCTTTATGGGGGGGAGACAACAAAAAAGTGCTTTTATCCTGAGTTGACAAAAGCCTCTGTTTTCCTGTTTTCCAGATCCTGTGTCTCCAGGAGGTGCAGCAGGACCACTATGAAGCCCAGATCAAACCGGCTCTCCAGGCACTAGGTACCGAGTCCGGCCTCTGGGTCTGAGTTTGGGAATTATTTTTAGGAATGCTGGCTCTTGTGATTCCCTTCTCATATTCAGCCATCATTTTTAGACAACATCTTTGGATGTAAATGTTAGATTTTTTAGCTAAAAGGTGACAATCTTCAAACATCTGCAGATGCGTCAACCTGCAGTTTAAGTGTGTTTTTAAATTTAACTTGGTGTTTTTGCATCTTTTTTTTTGTCACAGCTCCAAAGAACAAAGATTATTATTATTATTATCTTATTAATATGTAATATGTTAACAAGCTGGATGGATGTTGGGATCAAAATAATCAGGAAGCAGATGTACACAACACGGCTCTGTGTGTGTGTATGTGTGTAAAAATTATGTGTTTCTCCGGGTCTGACAATTCACATGAAATAACTGTGTGAAAGGTTATAGTCCTCATAAGTTATATAAACCAGATAATGTCCCTATATGTCGCATAAAAATCAGACGTGACCAAATTGTTTGCTCTAGCTAAAATCTTAATAGATGAATCCTTTCCTGAATGCATGGATAAGAAACTATAGGATTCTCAGACCTGTAGAACCTTTGGAAAGACACGTCCCCATTTGTCCTAGTTCCGTCATACGTCCTTATATATAAGGAAAACACGTATATGTGTATGTGTGATATGTGTGTGTGTGTGTGTGTGTGCCTGATTCGGGATTTCTCAAAATGTTGCTCTAGCTAAAATCTTAATAGATGGATGCTTTCCTGAATGCATGGATAGGAAACTGGGATTTTCAGACCTGTAGAACCATTTGTTTATATTTCCGTTATATGTCCTTATATATAATGAAAACACGTTTGTGTGTGTGTTTAATTGTGTGTGTCTCAGGGTACCAGTGTGAGTTTAAGAAGCGAACGGGGAAGAAGCCGGACGGCTGCGCGGTCTCCTTCAAAACCTCGCGCTTCTCGCTGCTCTCCTCCAAACCGGTGGAGTTTTTCCGGGGGGGCGACGCCCTTCTGGACAGGGACAACGTGGGCCTGATCCTTCTGCTGCAGCCCACTGGGACTGGGGACCCCCCCGGGGACCCCCCCGGGGACCCGTCCTCCTGCGTGTGCGTGGCTAACACCCACCTCCTCTACAACCCCCACCGGGGCGACGTGAAGCTGGCCCAGCTGGCCATCCTATTGGCCGAGATCGGCCGGGTGTCCCGCCTCCCCGACGGCTCCAGCCGGCCGGTGCTGCTCTGCGGGGACCTGAACTCCTCCCCCCAGAGCCCGCTCTACAGCTTCCTGACCAGGGGCCGCCTGGAGTACAAGGGGCTGAGGATCGGCATGGTGAGAGCCATGTCCTTTTATCTTGAGTTAAATTCAAACAAAGGGACCTAAGTCTAGTTTTGATAGAGCCTATGCTTCTTTGTTAACTCACTGACTGCCAGAGTTTTTTGAGCATTTTGACTGATTTTTCAAGAGCCACAGAATAGTTTGTGCTATGACTATGTAAACACCGAACACACCAAAAGAAAGAGTAAACTCTCTTCTTTCATCAGGAAAAAAAGTGTTTCTACCTTATTCCGTTCTTCCTGGACTTGCGTCTCACCGGCGACATGTTCTCTCATAGCGAACCGTTCCCTTTTTCTTATTTGCCTACAATCTATGCTCATCTCCCATAAAAAGTGGCACTGCCCCCTAGAGGGTCAATTTGTTACTATATACTCTGTCTAGAAGCTGATATTTACGGACAAGCTTTAGCAGATCGTCCCCCAGCCACTCTTGTTGAAAAACATAAAAGACGTCTTTGGCAACCAATGAGTTAAAGATTGTTTGCTAAATAAATGAAGCACATTTTGGAACTGGCAATGCCAGAATCTCACCTACTTTTAACCTCAGACTGTCACAATAATGTATCAAATGTCAGACTTCTTTTTTCTTTCAGTTTTAACCTGACTATACAAGACATAATAAATTTTCCTAACAATCAACATGTACTGTGACCACGAAACCGTGAATCGAACCGAACCGTGGTTGTTGTGAACCGTTCCACCCCTATTAAGTAATGAGGGGGTGTGTTTGGCTTCTCTGTGCAGGTTTCGGGTCAGGAGATCCTCCTGAGCGGCGGCTCCAGGGGTCAGCGCCGCCTCCAGTCCCCCATCTGGTCCCCGAAGCTGGGCATCAGCCGCCGGTGTCGGTACGAGAGCAAACGGCCCAAGTTCACCCCCGCCGGCCCCCCCCCGGCCGTCTCAGACCCAACGGTCCAGGACCCGGACCCCGGAGAGCCAGATGGACCCAGCAGGTAACGGCCCACTAGCTCTAGTCTGTCCAAACAAGTTTAACCAAAAAATATTCATTTCTCACAATTATGAAGGGTTAGGGTTAAGGTTAGGTTTAGGGTTAGGGTTAGGGTCAGGGTTAGGGTTAGGTTTAGGGTTAGGGTCGGCCCACTGCCCACTGTCTCTAGTCTGGAGGAGCCTCGGTCGGATATCAGACTCCTCCCACATCCAAGTCGGCCATGTTGATTAGGTCACCAATAGGAAGATCCCAGGCAAGAAAATCCTAATTGCTTCATGGCAATATAGACATTCATTTAAAAATAGTGAAATGAATCTTGCAAACACTGAATTAAACTCTATCCATAATATTATGTTAAAATAGTGGATGTTAAATAGGTTTGTACAATAAGTCCAAACAAGTTTAACCCAAAAATATAATTATTTCTCACAATTATGAAGGCTGGAGGGTTAGGGTTAGGGTTAGGGTCAGGGTCAGGGTTAGGTTTAGGGTTAGGGTCGGCCCACTGCCCACTGTGTCTAGTCTGTAGGAGCCTCGGTCGGATGTCCGGCTCCTCCCACATCCAAGTCGGCCATTTTGATTAGGTCACCAATAGGAAGATCCCAGGCAAGAAAATCCATCCTTGGCTTCCTGCAGTCTGCATCGTTGTTCCTAACAACGATGTAAGGAGGGTCTCAGTCCTAATTTGGGACTCCTTTCAGGCTCCACTTGACCTTTTGTCAGTGAACGCACCACCTGCACAAAGATGCTGGAGTCTAAAAAAATGTCTGTTTTTCTGGGAGGGCAGAAGACCAAAAAATTTACCTGGAAGTTTTTAAAAAATGCAGCAGCTTCAGCAGGAACGGTGGGAGAACAAAGTCTGGACTTTGTGATTAGTCAATGGGGCTTAACCCTTTAAAGCCCGATCCAAGAATAAAACAAAACAGAAAATGACTTTTTTGAGGTTTGAATTCCTTATTTGGCCTTAAACAAAATATTTAAAAAGAAAAAACAGAAATACACTTTTTATATTAATGATTTATTACTATGCGATAAGTCCAGATTATTTTTTGTGTAGTCTTCTGCCCCCTGTTATCAGGTGTATCTGATTGTGTACAATAGGATTTTAAGCAAAGTTTTTATCATTAAATTATGCAAAAGGTGTCAGACGCAAAACATTTCAGAAACCGTATGAATCAAATATAATACATTTGGCTTTACAGGGTTAAAAGTTCTCTAGGTTTCCATTTCTAACACAAAACGAATTCAAAACGAATGAAGTGGTTTGGTTATTTGGTTCGGATTTAGACAGAAGCTTTGGAGTAGTTTGTGTTGTGAATGTTTCCTCAAAGTTTGTCTTGCTGAAGTATTTTGTGGCTGAAGGTGATTGGTTTGTTGTTCTCCAGGTGGAAGGAGTTCCGGTGGAGCATTGAGCACGGCCTGAGCCTCCGGTCGGCCTACGATCACCGGCTGGAGCCCGAGGGCCGGCCGGAGATCACCACCTGCCACTCACGCACCGCCCAGACAGTGGACTACATCCTGTACAGCCCCGGTACACACACACACACACACACACACATACACACACACACACACACGGGGACAGACACACACACACAGGGACAGACAGACACTCACACACACACGTACAGGGACAGACAGACACACACACACACTCACAAACACACTCCCACACACACACACACATACGCACAGGGACAGACACACACACACACAGGGACAGACACACACACACACACACACATAGGGACAAACCGACAGACACACACAC